TTAGGTTTTGTAATAGATTTGGTTATTTGAATGTGTGTTGATAGAATTTTGTTAGGGTGATTGGTAGATTATGAGTTTGATAGGTTAGGATCATGATTTTGTTAGGATAATTTGATGTATTGATTGATTTTTAAATTTTTCTAAAGTTTTTTGTTATTTTTGGATTTAGTAAAACAATTTTTGGATTTATAAAAGATTTTGATATTTAGTAAAACTATTTTGGGATTTATTAACATTATTTTCGGATTTATTAAAACTATTTTTTATTTATTAAAACTATTTTTGTATTTATTAAAATTATTTTTGTAGTTATTAAAACTATTTTTGGATTTATTAAAACTTTTTTGGATTTATTAAAACTATTTTCGGATTTATTAAAAATATTTTTGTATTTATTAAAACTATTTTGTATTTATTAAAACTATTTTAAAAACTTTTTTGGATTTATTAAAACTATTTTTTGATTTATTAAAACTATTTGTAAAAGATATTTTTATTTCTTTTTTTATTTTATTTAAAATAAAATATTTTTTTTTAAATTTGTGTAGGTCGGGTAGCGATAGCCAGGCGAGACCTCGCCGCTACACACCACTAGGTCGAGGTGGTTCTCAGGGTGGTTCTCGTGGTGGTTCGACGGGCACCTCTCGTGGTTCTGCATCTTCGCAGAACCAATATCTCGGGGATTTTGCTTCTGCTCCAGCTCCTCCGGTCATTCTGGGTACCATGACTATTGAACAATTGGTTCAACAGCCTAGTCGAGAGCATCTTCTTGTTCTCACTCCGCATCCAACGGGCCCACACCAAACATGTTTAGAATTTTTTTTTAAATTTCTTTTTTTTAAATTTTATCTTTTTTTCATTATATGTTGCTTGATTCTTAATTTTTTCTTTTTAGGTTCGGTCGGTCGCAGAACGAGATAAGCTATTTCATCAATCGGATGATGTACTCGGCCCTCAAAAAGGGTTATCCTACCTACACCTCTTTCCCCCTCGAGGATCAGGAGATGTGGTTCCGTCAATTTGCGGTATGTATTTTACATTTTTTAAAGTTATATTTTTAATATTTGACTTAAATTTCTACTAATTGTGTTCTTTTTTCAGCAAGAGTTCAACTAGAATCCCCTCCATGCGGCCTTTATCGAAAATGCCTTCACCCATAAAGTCATGGAGAATTATGGGAAGCAGGTTTATGAGTGGAAGCAAAAGTGGAAGAAGGGCAAAAAACTGAGATTGATCAACGACACGGTGTGCTCGAGTTGCAAGCACATTGGGGGAAGACGGAGACGCAAGGAACCTCTGACACCAATTCCAGCAACCGCAGCAGCGACCGTCGCGGGAAGGGTCGGTACAAGAACAACTTGGGTGCTTGCAATATGTCATCTCTTGGGGATAAGCTAGTAAGTCCACTGATTTTCTTTACCTATTTCATTTTTAATGCTTTTTATTAACAAATGCTTTCTTTTTTTCAGGCGGAACAGAATGATGGTGAGCCGGTTGACTCCCTCGTGCTAATGAGGGAGGCGTATACCGACAAGAAGACCGGAGAGATTTTGGATGCAGTTGTGAGGGATGTGATCAACTTGGTCGAAACCCAGAAGGAGGAAGAGATCCAACGCCTCTCTCAACTTCAGTCTGACGACGATGGCACTACTGTTGCTTCCCCCAACCTTTCTCGAGCTCGAATCAACGATCTAGTTGAGTCGGTAAGATCTTTATTTTAATTTAATGTTTTTTAAATTTAATGTTTTTCACTGTTTTAAGTTAATTTTTTTTCTAGGCGGTTCCTAAGAAGAAAGGCCGTTTGTTCGGGTTGGCTCGTCGCTCCAAGTCAGTTCCTTCTACTTCATAACTGGCTTTTGTTGATCCGGCAATTATGGAGCAGCTACAGAATAAGGATGACCGCATCGTAGCATTGGAGAACCAGAACGCCACAATTCTTACCCAGAACGAGACCATACTTGCTAGGATGGCAGATCAGCAAAATGAAGTGGAGGAAACGAAGAAGAAGAACCAGGAGTTGTTGAATATGATGCGACGCCTGTTCCCGCATGAGTTCTAGTCGGGTGTTTTTTTTGTTTTTAAAAACTTTGAATGTTTAATTTGTATTTGTACTTTTAAAACTTAAAATATTATAATATGTTTTTTATTTCAATTTTAGTTTTATATTTTCAATTAATTATTGTATAAATCTTTTTTTAGGAAGTTAGGTCCTCGGGATATTCCGATGAACTATTTCCGAGGAAGTTAGGTCCTCGGAATATTCCGACGGCTACGTCCATCAGAATTTTCCGAGGACTGGTCCGTCAGAATCTTCCGACGAAATTTTCGACGGACACATTTGACGATATTGTCCGACGAAGAATCCGTAGGGATAAACCGATGACTTCTCTTCCTCGGAATTTCGTCGGCTTATTAGTCCGTCGGAAGTCCTCGGTATTTTCTCGGTGTCTCTGACGAAATTCCGAGGAAATATTTTTTTCCAATGAAGTATTTCAGACGACCTTTTTCCTCCGAATGTTGTCAGAATAGACGTATTCCGACGACTTTCTGAGAAAAATGACCCTCGGAATATCGCTGTTTTCTTGTAGTGTTCTCGTGACAGAAAACTGAAAGTGTAACGACACGGTTTTGGGTAAACCGGTGTGGTTTAATTTTAATTAATTTTCCTAACCCTTCTCTCGATTATGCAACTACATATATACAATATGGTGTAATATCTCCACAAAAAAAACTAATTCCAATATTTGAATGCCCACTTTCATTACAAGTTTGGGCACTATCATCTATGCCTTCCAACCCCGCTCTATTTCCAGTACAAAGCGCGTACGCGAATATGGATTATCTTTTCTGGAGGAAGAATGCTATAACGGAACCAGAAATGGACAGGATCCTTATCCTTGGCTTATCTGGTACATTTGGAAGGCTAGGAATGACAAGCTTTTCAGAGGTATTGATAGGGACCCCTTGGAGTTAGCGCGTTATGCAGAAAGTGAATGCCTGGCATGGTTCAAAGAAAATGAGCAGGAAATTCCGGTCTTCATTGGGATCAGAGGAGAAGAGGATCAGGCTGTAAGCTTGGGTAACATATGCATGGTGGATGGATCTTGGACTTTTACAAATGCTTTCAGTGGATGTGGGTGGGTTCTGAATGATAATTTCGGAAACAGTAAGCTACTGGGGCTTCGTAATTTTGATCGAGTGGAATCGGCGTTGCATTCAGAGTTGGAAGCACTACGGTGGGCAATGGAGAATATGCTTCAACATTCGCCATGTCAGAGCTTTGGAACTGATTGTAAGGAGTTGATCGAGATGCTCAGGAGTCCTCATGCATGGCTTAACTTCTCAACAGAACTGGAACAACTAGAGAAGCTGAAAACCTGCTTTCCTGATTTTAAATTTTTTTATGTTTCTAGAGTACAGAACGGCGTTTCTGACTCTTTAGCCAAAACAGCTAGATATTTTTACCGTAAGCTTGTGTTCGTTGGTTGTTCTATCCCGGTCTGGATTCCCAGACCACCTCAAGTTGCTTGAGTAATAGATCAGCCGTTTGATGTCAAAAAAAAAAAAAAAAAAAAACCTAATTCATGAGCTGTCAAAGCGAAGACATCATTTGCTCCGAGTTACTATCACCACAGCCTCTTCTCATATTACCACCAGAAAAGCCTCGTTTTCACCATAGATTGTGTGCACCAACAGAATCATCACATTGCCATTTACATTGGACTCGAGTTAGGATTAGGAGGAGCAATCTGGAGCCTTCACGTTTTGTCACCACCGGCGCCAATCTCCAGTAACTTGATCTGTTCATCACCGAAAATAAACTTGAATTGTCGGATCACCGTGTAGACACCATTGGAAACGTCGTAATGTTACCGGAGTCCCATTGTATAAATAGCCGAGGAAAACAGAAGATCTAGGGTGATCGCTAGACCTTTCTTGCGCAGGAAGCTACTGAACAAGCAATGCCAGCCCGTGTGTTGCCCCAACACGTCACCACCATCAATCAATCGTGAGACAAGGTTTTGTGCACCGGTTAATTATTTCTTGTGTACAAGCAACGTCTTGAAGTGATGAACCGCAGTGCTAATAAATATTCTTGTTATTGCGTGTCCATAATTTTTCATGCATTGGTTTGTGTTGCTTCTCCAACGAAACATACATCACGGCAACATCACTCGTGTGAGCTAAGTTTGATCGTTATCCACTGTAGATTAAAGGCCAGCCTCTTCTCGTGTTCACGTGAGCTTGATGCGCGATAGATTCTTCCGATTTGAGTTTCCCGGTTAACCCAACCCTCTTTGACATTTTTCCATATTGGCCAAGGTTAAAGGGTTCTCATAATTTCTCGTACACAAGTTAGAACTTAGAATATATATAGTTGAATTCTAATATTTAAGTCTGGATGAATTGAGTTTGTAGCATGTCTGAAGTGTGCTTGTTTAGTTAACAGTTTTTTTGTATGAACTAGAAATAGGAAGTTAGAGGCTCAACATTGTTTGTTTCATTTAAATATGATTAACGTAGGTGGATACTAAGATGAGTATATGCGATTGTATGTGATGTGACAGGGCACTCTCTCGAATGTATGTGATGTGGCCGGACACTCTCCCGAATGTATGTGATGTGGTCGGGCCCGACTGTAGGTGGTCCAGTACTCTCTCGACTTTAATTTATGTAGCCAGTCACTATCCTGACTGTAGGTGGCCAGACACTCTCCCAACTATATGTGATGTGGCCGGGCACTCTCCCGACTGTAGGTGACTGAGCACTCTCCCGTCTGTGTCAGCCCTCTGGTGTGAGGTGACGGTTGTGTGCGAGTACGTAACTAAAAACCTTGTTTTCTCTTTAATGCTTTAGGTGCCTGTTGGGAAAAGATGATACAAAGTGGACCAAAAAGCTTGTGGAGGAAAGAGACGGGAGAATGAATTTGGGAAGTGGCTGGACAGTTTAGCTGAAACAAACAGCTTTAAGCTAGGCGAATCCGTTACATTGGAGTCAATATGGGAAGAGGGATCTCCTATGATCAGGTTTCTCCGTACAGGGTCTAACTGTTCAAAAGCTAACAAGAAAGAGTCGGTTTCCACGGAATTAACATAGTCTAGAGCGAATGTTTCATCTTCAGAGATCTATGACCTGTTTGTGACATTAACACTATTACTTGAAGATGTCAAAGCCGGTACACAGGTAAGTTCATCAAACAACTCTTGTATCAGACATGAATTATAGTTTCTGTCTTGAACTCTAATTGGTAATGAGTGTGTTTGTTCAAATGTTTTTTGTAGATTCTTCCTAGTCAGTTCTTAAAAGCTAATGGCGTCAATAAATTTTGGAAGAATATAACTATTTTGGCTGAAAACAAAGCTGAGTTGTCAGGATATCTTTTGTCAGGAGGTGGAACCATTGCTTTGGAAAATGGTGGGCGTGGTGAAGCTAATGACATAAAAGCTAGGTGAGTCTTTCACTTTCGAGTTCATTAAGAAATCAGAGAAAAACAACTCATGTATTTATTAAGTTAGATGAGCTTCCAACCTAAAACCAATTGGTTACAGGGGGAGTGACCCATATATCTTATATACTACTTAGAATCTCTTCCAACTTCCGATGTGAAACTTTTGTCCTTAATACACCTCTTCGAGATGATCGTTCTTTGAGCGTCAATCTCAAAATATTTGGACAAGGATCGATGGACCGATTTTGATCTGGATCAATGTGGATCAGGTTGGATTGTGTGGATCGTGGGCTATGATACCCGATCCATATCGATCCAGCCCAAAGCCAGCCCATCGATCCTTATTCGGACATTCTGAGATTGACGCCAAAGAGTCATCATCTCGAAGGGGCGTATTAGGAACAAAGGTCCCACATCGGAAATTGGAAGGAATTCTATCTATAGTATATAAGATAGATGGGTCATTCCATTTATAACCAATTGATTTTAGGTTGGAAATCAATCTAGTTTAATAGTATTGAAGTTTTGTTATCCGGAGACTATATAACAAAATTTAACCAAAATAATTAGATATCGAATTTGTTCCAGGTGGTGACAACTCTTCATCGTCCCTGGTAGCAAAATAGTCAATCAGAGCACATATTTTACAATTGATATACCCATATTATCAGAGAGTAAACAAATGCCAAAGTTAACACCCTGTACTTTTCTCTGACGCATGACAGCGAGTCAGCCACCAAATATTAAAAGACAGGTGAGCAAAATTTTAACTGGTGTGGTTATATAGTTGTCACCGGCGACTGTCATTGCTGTTGCTCGTCTTTTCTGTATTTTTATTGCCGCTGCAAATAACAGCTTGGCCCACTCATAAGTTAACGACATGTTGGCGTCCAATGATTACATATTTTCTTACTCTTTAATTTGATTGGTTGCTGAGCTCTCGTTAAAAGTCCTTTATATTTTTTGATTGCTCGTCGTTGACGCAGCGTTTCGAAAACAAACAGGGATGAAACATTTTTATTTTGCAACAGATAGTGAAAGCTTAACAACGGTCACGTAATTTATTATATTTTCATTCGTTTACAAACCGTCAGGACATAAATAAACTAAAATATAGAATAAGAAACATATATTCATTCTTACATAAAAACCAAAACAGAACAAAGACAAAAAGAGAGAAGAGTATTGAGGTTGCCTTTAACATTTGATACCATAATGGGTCATATCTTTGCACCTGTGACCCAACCTACAATAACGCTCCGTAATGGCTCGTACGTTTATGCTTGTGAATTGTGATCAACTATACCATTATGCTTTTGGGTGTCATGAAAATAACAAAAGAGAATATAAATAGTCCCATTGTTACTTCGAGCCATTTTAGTCATCTTCCCAAGCAGTTTTTCACTGCAAGCAAAAAAAAATTATCACTCAACGAACTCTGACTTTTCAAGTAATAAGTATAGTCAAACGACTCTTGATAATTCATCTACAAATGTCAGAAAATAGACTGCACCACATGAAGAAGAGATACAATAAGGATTACATACAGGAACATGTATCAAATAAAAAAATCTTCTGATTATTTATACTGACTCAGTATTTTTTTCTAGAAATTTAACACTTAAACACATGTCACAACAACGACAGCTAGCATAGTAAAATAAACAATGGTAAAACTGAAACCACATAAAATACTGGAAGCCCTAAACGCTTTTGACATGGTAATCTGTATAGAGATGGGAAATGTAGTTCCAAACATATAAAAAATAATAGTAGTTCCAAACAAAAAACTTTTTTTGAAAAATATTTTTAATACCGTCACCAAAATACAAAGCTATAAATCTTAAATTCTAAACCCTTGGACAAATCTTCAACCCTTGGGTAAAATATATTTTAAAAAATCAAAGATTTATCCAAAGGTTTAGGGTTTATAGAAAGATTTTAAGTTTTATGATTTAGGATTTAGAGTTTAGTACTTTGATAATAGTATTAAAAAAATTAATTTTTTTTTTGCAACTATTATTTTTATTTATTTTAACTTCAAATTTTAAAAACATAATATAACGTGACAATATTTTATTTCCTTTTTAAAAAGATATTAAATATAAAATAACGTAATCCTATTGCTTAGTGGATCTAGATGTTCTTCCTTTGATGTAAACCAAAAAATTACTTTTTTTATACATTAAAGCTGACCCCGATTAAATATTGCCCACTTACATTCTGAATAGAGATCAAACCAATTACTTATTCTTGGGTTCTAGGTTCACCAACCTAAAATATTATTTTATTTCATATTTGATATCTTTTGAAAAAGGAAAAAAAAATATTGTCAACTTAAATTATATTTTTGAAATAAAAAAGGTAAAAATAAATAAAAAGTAGTATCAGTTGCAAAAACAAATTAAATATTTTTAACACCGTCATCAAAAGACTAAACCCTATCCTTAATCCTAAATCCTAGGGTAAACCTTAAACTCTTAAATCCTAAACCTAAATAAAAGTACTAAATACTAAATATTAAAAACATTAAACCCTTAACAGTAACCTAAAAACCCTTGGAAAAAAACTAAATAAAAATAATAATAGTTGCCAAAAAAAAAGAATTTTTTAAATATTTTCAACACCATCAATAAAACACTAAACTCTAAATACTAAATACTAAATCTAAAACACTATAAATCATAAATCCTAGTGTTTAGAATTTATCAAAGGGTTTAGGGGTTAGGATTAAAGATCTAGTGTTTATAAGATTTAACGTTTAGTGTTTAGGATTTATCTAAGGGTTTAGGGTTTACCTAAGGGTTTAAGGGTTAGGATTTAGGATTTAGAGTATAGTGTTCTTTCATAGTGTTTTCAACAGATACTAAATATAAAATAACACAATATTATTGGTTGGTGAACCAACCCAAGAATAACTTCAAACCAATCATCAACACTATTAAAATAGGAGCACATTTTATCTACTTGCAAGTATTCTATGTTGGACTATTACATTTATTTAATTTTCTTTTTATTCTCCAATAACTAACGTAATTATCATTTAAATGTAACTAACTTGATTATTATTTAAATGTATATTATGCTTAATCAATTATTTTAATATCTTCAAAATAAAATATCTAAGATAATCTTAGGTATATTTTCCTAATATTAGATTTTAATAAAATCTTTTATTTAAAATTTAAATATACATATCTTTTTAATATTTATGTTTGAATAGTAAAATTCATAATTAATATTAAATATTGTTAAAACGAATACTAATTCATTTTTCATTTATAGAATAAGAAAGAAAATTATATACATAATTTATATTCATAAGTAATTTATTACACCAAGTAATGAATATAAAGTAACTTAACAAGTTATATTCAGATTGTAGTGGTTTTTGCAGGTTTATAGAATTTTTGAATGATGAGTTTTTATTTTATTTTAAAACCAAACCGAATTACATATAAAATCAATAGTTTTATCATTTTAACTACGGGTCCGGATCGAGTTTCAGAACACTAAATATAACGGTTCATGTTTAAAATTTAAATATAAATACATAATCAAAAATACAAATTTATATCATATAAATTTGGTTTGTTTTAGAAATAATCCCGCACTTTGAACCGTCGATGAGTCCCAGGTTTTAGCGAATTTTTGCGTTTTATATTATTTTAAAATAATGAGCTTTTAAAACAAACAAACCGGGTTACATATAAAGTTAATCGGTTTTGTCGGTTGAACCACGGGCCCGGGACGTTTTTCAGAACACTGAATATAACGCTTCGTGTATAACATTTAAATGTAGATAAATATTCAAACATACAAATATATATCATATAAATTTGGTTTATAGAACTTTTAAATAACAAGTTTTCGTTTTAAAACCAAACTGGATTACATATAAAGTCATCATTTTTGTTGGTTTAATTACGGGTCCGGATCGTGTTTTCGAGCACTGAATATAACGCTTCATGTTTAATATTTAAATGTAGATACATAATCAAAAATAAAAATTATATCATATAAATTTGACTTGTTTCCAAAATAATCATGCACCTTGAACCGATAGCCGAATCTCATGTTTTAGCGGGTTTTTATGGGTTTTATAGAATTCTAAATAATGAGATTTAAAAGAAAAAATCAAACTGGTTACATATAACATTATCGGTTCTGTCGGTTTAACCAAGGTTCCGGATCGTGTTTCAAAACATTGAATATAACGGTCATGTATAATATTTAAATGTCGATAAATATTTAAATATGCAAATTTATAAATTTGGTTTGTTTTGAAAATAATTCTGTGGTTTGAAAGCGCATATCAAAATATAGTAGTTCATTACAGAGAGACAAGTTGTTTGAGTGACGTTTATGCGAGTTCTCAGTTCTCTGTAAGAACGTGCTGAGATGCTTGTAGTTGATTTTTGATGATTTGTTAGACTTCAGGAACTTCCTTATTTATTTAAGGTTGAAATCTGTGTATTTTTCCTTCTCTTTCTAAGTTTTTCTTTTTTGTTTTTTAAAATAGTTTAACTTTTATCGCTGATTTTTTTCTGTTTGATTGGCTTTTCTTTGTTGACTTTCTATTCTTTGTCGACTACCATTTATTAAATAGCCTATTTGAATTTTATAAAAGATTTGGCAAGGATATTAGTTCCGTCTCTAACAGTAAATCCCTCCTTGGTTCATTAACCAAGCATTTTCAAAGATCGATGAATTTGTAAGAGACTAATTTACCATAAATTATGATTTTTATAAATATAATTATTACTTAAGTATAACGTGTTCTAGCTCTGCAATTGACCCTACTACCTCACCATTCATTGCAGAAGCGATGGCTATGTTGTCAGCAGTTCAGCAACTACACGCACTTGCATATAAGGAAGTGGTTTTCTTAGGAGATTGCATGGAATTGACCAAGAACTTGGATAGCCCATCACGACAATATAAGGACACTAGGATGCAAATATGCGAAGCAAGTTCTATCATTCATCTTATACTTAGCAAACA